AAAGATTATAGTGAGAAAATTTATACTGAAAAAGCTAAAGGAAGAAAGAGAAAAAATTGTATTTTTTATTTTCAGTTTCTTCACATGTGTTTAAGAGCATATTTGAAAATTAAATCTCAATTTAAATTGTTGAACGTGTTTAGTAATATATTTGTAAACTAGTAATAATTACCAATTAGTTTAATTTAAAATAATATTAATTAAAGACTCATTTGATAATGGTTTCTATTTTTGGTTTTTAGTTTTTAGTTTTTTTAATTTTATGTTTGACAACTATTTTTTGTTTTTTGTTTTATTTGGTAAGCATTTTTTGTTTTCTGTTTTTTAAAAATTAGCAAATTGGAAATATATATTGAGAGGAAAAATTCTATGGAATTGACAATAATGTGCGGCGAGAGTGGCGAGAGTAAAAATACAGTCTCTCATTCTTGTGCTTGTAAAAATTTTAGTCCACCATCTCCATTTCGTTCTTTGATTTGGAAATAGAGATCTAAGTTAAAGAATCAAATGGACCTTTAACATCTTTGTTATAAATTATTTATAATTATTATTTAACAATATAATATCTCACTTGTTTTAATTTTAACAAAAATGAATTGAGTTTATAATATGAAACAATATATTTATCAAAATTTTTATCTATTTTTAATGTTTAAAATCTGAAAGCACTAGAAACATAAAAAATGTTGTTTTCGGTATTTCCACGATTTGTTAAAGGCATATTTATTGTCCAAGATTAAGTGAATCTGAAAACAATAAAGATGGTAAATCAAACAGACCTTAAAGACCCATTTTATAACCATTTTGTTTTATGTTTTTTGGTTTTTAGTTTTTGAAAAACATGGGTGTTCGATAACCAATTCAATTTTCTATTTTTTGTTTTTCAAAAATAAAAATACAAAAAAAAGAAAGTAGTTTTTATAAACTAACTTCTATTCTTCAAAATCTATTTTTTTCTCCTCATACAAAACTTTTTTTTATTTGACATATTTACCTCTAACAAATTTCTTTCCCACCAACTCTTTTCTCCATAAATATCTCCTAAAAAATCTATTTTTCTCCCTCTAAAATTTTAATATTTTAAATATTTATCGTTGTTTCTCTCTCTCTCAATTTTTCATCTCTAAGTAGGTTTATTTTCTTTCTTTTTTCTAACATATCAACCTCATTTCTTTCTCTAAAAATTTAATATTTTCTCAAACTTTTCTCTCTCTAAAATTGCATCACTTTTCTTTTTCTTCTTAATCTATTTTCCATCTGAAAATTATAAATTTTCTTTCACTATAACATTTATTTCTCTTTGTATTTATTTATTTTCTCGAAAAAGTAAATTTCGAATTTTGTTTTTATATCTAAATTTTTTTGGTTTTTATCTCTAAATTTTTCCTCTCAACTTTACCCTTTTACTATAAAATTTAATTTTTCTTTCACTATTTTTTTTCTAAATCTTTTTCTTCATCTCTCTAAAATTTATATTTCAAAAGTTTATTTTCATATTCTCTAAACTTATATTTTTATGTAACTACATTAGGGATGGACAAACACGATTGGATCCGCACTTTAAAAATAGGAAATGCATGTCCCGACGCGGTTTCCGTTTCCATTTTATTAATAATTAATATATATTTTATTGACATATTTACTAAATTGTGAATAAAGTATTAAAATATTTTTAAAATTCATTATTTATAGTAGTAAATAATAATTCTAAAAATAATTAATATATTTATTACACTTTTTTAATTTTTTAAATTCTAAAAATAATTAAAATTAATTATAAAATTGGTAATTTTTCTCACTAATATTCTCGTCCCCAAATAAGATTCTTTAACCTAGATCTCGATTCTCGAACCAAAGAACGGGGTGGAGACGGGGGACTAAAAATGTTTACGAGCACGAGAATGGAAGTGAACATCTATCCTCACTCCCATCTCCTACCATTATCATCTCTATTCTACATAGAATTTTATCTCTCTAATATATATTGTCAATTTTCCAACTTTTAAAAAATAGAAAACTAAAAATAGATACAAACATATTTGGTATTCTATTTTTTAAAACAAAAAACAATTATCAAAGTTTTTATTTTTTAAGAAAAAAATTAAAAATTAAAAACACAAAATAGCAAAAACAAAAACATAAATGATTATCAAATAGCCCTATATTTCGTCCAGTGTAGATGAGGGGCAAAAATGCGATAACATTATTGTTTTCATTCTATTGATACATATATGTAATATTATTAGGGCGTGTGATAAAGCTGTAAATGTTAAGTTTATTTGGTATAATTATGTAGTTTATACTTAAGGGGCCGTTTATTTTTGGAGATGTAGATGTTCGCCGAAATTTTAGATGTCCGAAATTTAAGATAAATGCGTTTGTTTTGTAGGAAGATTTATAAGGTTAATTATTCGTGCGTAAATTTATGTAATCTTCCAAAAATATCCTTAAGAATATTGATATAATTTATACATTAATTCAATATAATTTGTATTTATATTGAATTTGTTTTTATTAATTTAGTATCTTTTTTATATGTTATTTTTTACGACGAATTATTTCATATTATATAAGATTTTTTTAGAAAAATATTAAATATAAATTTCATTTTCAAATATAATATTAAAAACACAATTATATAATTGATGTTACATAAAATAAAGTTTCTTTTAATGACATACTAAAATTCAAAAAATAAAATAAATTTAAATACAGATAATTAAATGCAGATAATAAGAAAATAGAAAATTTAAATGTAAAAAAAATAATGAAAAAAATTTAAATGCTGAAAACTAAAATTTTTGTCAAATAATTTTGAAAATACAAAATTGTGTTGTTTTCCAAATTTTGTTGGGATTCTTTTTATATTGTGTTTTAAAAAAATCATTCAAACAACTTTTTCAAATTTTTTTTAAACAAAAATTCTTTTTAAATTTTCGATCAAAAATGAAACAAAAAAATAAAAAATAAAAGTATTTTCCAATGATGAAAATAAATAAGACATTGATCTTTCAATTGGATGTTTCGATGTATTGATATAAATTTATGAAATAAAATATTAAAATTTAATAGAAGACACAATAAAAAAAAACGTGTAAAGATGGAACATAAAGCAAAATGAAGAAAATAGTAAGAAATGTAATATGAAAATAAATAGCTAATATTGAAGAATGATGCAGATGATTGAAAAAGATTGAGAGTAGATTTTGAGAGTTTCTTTTCTTGAAGAGAAGAATGAGACGGCTAGGATAAAAGGAAAATATTGCTAGTTTAGGTTTAAAGGTAAATTTGATCATTTGATAATGTCTGATGTGAGGAAATCTTAGAATGATTACCATAATCCAAACACGTTAATTCAAATGTTCATGGGATGGACATCTTAGATTACCACCAAACAAACGAGACCTAGATCTTCTTCCTAAAGAGATTCGATTAGGAACTATTATATGTCCAAGGTCTAATATTGAAATAATTTTCAGAGGTTTTCCTTGACTTTRTCCGTGTCAACAAACAATTCTAAATGCCTCGACTTTTTTAGAACAGGTCCGTGTCAAATAGTAATGATTCAAAGCACCTCTTTTTACACTATTTCGGAAACCCAAGGACTCAATCGTATGGATATGTAAAATACAAGATTTCCAATCCTAGCAGGAAAGGGAAACGGATACTCAATTTAAAGTGAGTAAACAGAATTCCATACTCGATCTCATAGATACATATAGAATTCTGTGGAAAGCCGTATTCGATGAAAGTCGTATGTACGGCTTGGAGGGAGATCTTTCATATCTTTCGAGATCCACCCTACAATATGGGGTCAAAAAGCCAAAATCAAATTTGAGGTACTGCAGAAGAAAAAATTGCAAAATACGTGTGAAAGAGAAAATAAAATCAAATATTATAAGAAAATAGGAAATTTTGAAAAACAGAAATCTATATTAAAAATAATACTTTTTTTTTTCTTTTGAAATTTACTTATAATTTAAAAAACGTTAGTAAGAAATTGAAAACTTGATCGAAAATATATAAAATAACTAATTAAATCAGGTTTCAAACTCTATTTTTTCATAAATTAAAAACTAAAAACAAAATTACTATTCAAGCATGTCTTAACAAATTTAATTCACAAAAATACGATAAAAATTTTGCTAGATTTCAAAAATGAAAAATAGACTTTAAAAAACAAAGAAATTATAAGTAAGCAATCTTAATTTTTAAAAAATCACAAAGTTAGATCAAAATTGAGTTTTATTTATTTCTTTTTGAGTTGGCCAGTGATTTTTAGCTCAATTAAGAATACAACAGTCTTTTATGCAAAGAAATATCATAAAATGTAACTCTAAAAATACATATATTGGAAGAAGTACAAATATGTATAGGGAATTTTGGATATTCTACCTTTGCGGGAAAAAAAAAATCATTTCATTTGAAATTGAAGGCCGCCCAGGGATTGGTGACAAGTGTTCCAATCTTATAATGGATTTGGCATGCGTGGTAAAAAGCACTGAACAAAAACTTTAAAATTTAATGGTACCATGTCCAAAATTTCGGCAACGGCGCAGGGATTTTCCAATCGGGGATGAGTTCCCAGGAACCCATCTTATATATATAGAGAATTATAAATATTTTAATTCTTTCAAAAATACAAACTTTCTTTTATAGAATAGTGTAAAATTTAATTAAATACAATTACAATACTTTAAAAAATTTAAAAAAAAAAAACAAAACGTATTTATAGAAAAGACTCGGGGAGACCTCTCTTCATCCCCCACCCTGTCCCGCCAAGAACCCCAATTAGGATCCCCAATTTGACCCTGTCCTAATAAACCGAAGATTCTCCGACCCAATCGGATCGAGTACTTGCAGGTCCCACAGATTTTTTTGCCATTTCAGTACTTTTATAAGAAGTAGTTGAGTAGAGTATTTTTCTCTTAAAAGTGTTTCATTTGAAAGAAAGCATAACCTTCAAAAATGACTACAAACTCATTCTATCATACTCCATGTTTAACCGCATAAACAACAGTTTGAATTCAACTAAACAACACAGAAATCTGTTTCTTACCCGAAGTATCTTTCAGCTTAAACTTGGAAGAAGTCTCACAGCAGTCATAAAAACAATGGATCGATTTTAACCATCTCATTCTCAAGTAGGATAAAATGTAAAAAAAGTTCACTTTTTATACAAATTTTACTTGTAGGAAAATGGTAAGAGTTACACCTTCCGTTATGAGGTTTCTTCCTTCACAAATGTGGGACAAAAATCCACCTCCAAGGCATCATCAAATTGCCTTGCTCCTGTGTGCTACCAACTGATGATATAGGTAAGGAGAGGAAAATACACAAGATAACAAATTAGAGGGCGGGAATTGGGAAGGACATGAAATGTTCTCATCACTATTTCCTAGTAGTGTACTAGAAGCACTAAATGCAATCAACAGTCAATTCTGCTTTAGCTCATTTTTGTCCCTGTACTTTTAAATTTTTGTTTATTTTAATTCTCTGTACTCTCAAAATAAATGTCCGTTTCGTCCCCTGTACTTTCAAAATAAATGTCCGTTTTGGTCCCCATACTTTCAAAATTAATATCTGTTTTGATCTTTATACTTTCAAAATAAATGTTGTTTTGGTCCCTCTACTCTAAAAAAGTGACCATTTTGGTCTCTTCATTTTTCATTTTTATATCATTTATTTGAATCAAACTCTAACATGATATTTCATTTACTAAATTTCTTGAGATGTAATCCTACTTGTGCAATAATAAATGATTTCTATTATGTATAAAATTTATGCTAAAAAATATAAATGATTTCTATTATGTATAAAATTTATGCTAAAAATTTACAAATAGAGACTAAAAAGGGTCCCTTTTTAAAAGTACTGGGATTAAAACAGATATAGTGAAAGTACAAATTTAGGGACTAAAATGAACCAAAGTTGGATGTATAAGGACCAAAATAGTACTTAAAACATTTTTATACATAAAAATAACAAAATAATGAAAGCCTTATAAGAAATCAGAGTATCTGTATGAGAATGTTTAGAGAAACAAACATTTTTGAAGAGTATCAATTAATTTCGTTACAAAATAAATAAAAGGAATGTGAGGTACTGACTACTGAGACGCCCTTGCCTCCCTTTTTTGAAAAGTGCGCCTGAAAACACTGGTTCTAATACTCCCCGAGTAAATATTTTGATAAAGGAACGTAAGATTCATTTCATCAGTCAGAAAAACATGTAGGATCATGTCAAGCTCATTATAGTTGCCATAATATATGACCATAAACCATATTATTAAACAGTCGACATATTTAGATAATATTTCAAGCAACCTCATACCTAAATAACGAGCTTCATGAAGAATTAATCATTGGCCTGCTACAAAGAAAAAGAAAATGATGTGAGGAAAAGGAAAGACAGTATCTTGTTCTAAATCACTAAGCAAGAATGAATATAGTCTGATGTGTTCTCTTTGCAGAAAGAATGAAGAAGAATATGATAGGAGTATGCTTTACAGAAGATCAAAAAACAAACTTCTGAGGATTGCATTGATTAAAGATTGAGTATTTAGTGGCCCAAATGTGTAAAATGCAGTTTTCTTTGAATCCCTGCTGGACTTGCATTGAAATAAGAAACTTGGTTATTCAAAAAAAGAAATTACTGTACACCATATGGCAGGTAGTTCGTGAGGTTTGAACTCTCAAACTTTTGCCATAACTATTTAGCTTCCTCACACGAAGTTTGCACAATTTGTTACTAATAGATTTACAAAAGTGGACCTCAGTAACATAAATGCTCTCTACTCCCTGTAACTACCAGATTCACCTCTCACCCTTTTCCTAGTGTAAGTCGGATGAATAGGGGGTGCTTAATCCTATCAGTAACCCTGTTCAAAATTTCACCTTGTCCTGTTAAAAGTACACATACAATAGGGTTATAGACCATGTCCCCAACCCACTAACTAACATCTTTTCATGGACCAGATTCAAAGGCATTCCTCATTGTTGGGGTTGCAATGGTGCATTCTTTATTGGAAGACATGTAAGGATTTGAGTCGTATCCTTTAGTGTAATCATCTTGGAGTGGTTCGTTCTCTCATTTGATTTGGGACTGTTTTTTGGAGACTATTGGGGTTTGTTTGGTCTGTAACATGAATAGTCTAGATTCAATCTCCTTCCAGGATAAGAGCAGTGTTCTCTATAGTGCTGGTTTTTATATATATTATGGAGTATTTGGAGTGAGAGAAACAACATAATCTTGAGAGGACAGAGACGTTTTGGGCTGGTAGGTTTGGTCTTTGGTTAGATTTAAAGCCTCTCTTTGGTCGTTTATCACTAAATATTCTTTGTAATTATTTTTTAGGTCTTATTCTTTTACAAAATTGGAGCCCTTTCAACATTGAGAAAACTAGATTTCTAGATTTAAAAAAATTGTTGTTTGCATTCCTTTTCACAATTTGCTTTGTCCTAAAGAGTTGGAATTTCAGGCCATCAAAAGGGCAGCATCCCTTCCTATAATAACCAATCACTGAGAAAATTGGGAAGGTTGTTTGTATCTAATAAAGGGGAAGGGGGTTTGTCATACATCAACTATAACGTTAGTTTTCTGGTTTAAATTGTTTTAGTTTTTTAAATACTTAACTAGTAGTTAATTCCTTTATAAATTGAGTTTAATATCTATACTTCGAATCAAAATAAACTACTTTGGAATAAAGTTCTTGGAGAATTCTCTCCTTGGTAGTTTAAGCTACACCGTGAAGTGTTAAACCATTATTCTGCCCAAAGCACCCATTTTGCCAAAGTTTTTGGCTTCACTACAGCAAAACAGTACAAATACTTCCAGGAAACAATTAACGACCTCAATTTGTCCATCTGATTACAAGTCAGGTGGTATATAGTATTACGCTTAAGGTTCCATCTATTTAAATTCCACCCAAAAGGTGCCCACAAAGATCTTGTCCCCATCTAGTAAAATAGACTTGGGGACCCCATGCAACTTGATAATCCCCTTAAGAAATTGATATCAGCTAGATAATCCTTGAATAATGGAAATGAAGGTCAAAATAATGTTGGTTGGGAATTTGGATAATGCATGAAGCAACCTTGTTCTCTATGCTAAGGTGATACTATGTCAAAATCATCAAGAGCAACTTATCAACACTCACCAATGACTGCTCCACTGGGGGAAACACAAACTATTTAATCTATACGGATCCAAACTTTCTCCCCATCAAATGAGACCTCCATTTTTGTATAGATAATAGAATGGTCATCAATTCTTTTACGTAGACAGACTTCTATCTGACTTGATTAGTAAGGATTTGGCTGAAATATGCTAATAGTCAGTTATCCTGCTTTAAAACCACTACTATCCCACATCGCATCAATTTCAACCAGACTCCTTAAAGCTTGGTGTCATAATGGCCGTTTTAAAACGAACAAAGGACTTCTCTGTTGTCTAACTCCAAGAAAACTGGTCTTCCTTCCATTGGTCTGTTAGGCACCAAGGGCAAGAAATATCATTATACCCTCTCACAAACTTGACAGTATCCTCTTAATCCCAAAAAAAAATCACATAATTTCCTGCAAGGAAGCTGGTACAAACCAAGCGGTCATAGATTCGATTTTACAAGCACACGCTTGAATTCAGCAAGAAAGAACTTAAATGTGTAAATACCATATTCTGACAGTTCACTGAAAATGGTTGAGAATCCAGTCAAGCATCTTCACAAAATACAAATCATTTCTCCATCGCCTAATTTGTACCATTAATGATCTAACACCAGCCTCTATCATTGCAATACTCCAATAATTACAGTTGTTTTCCCTTTTCTATACAGTAGTAAACCACCCATCCTCATCTCTCCCATATAATTCTAGGAACCACTTGGAGCCAAACTGATTGAATTCTTTAAAACAACTGCTATCGAAACTTAAAGAATCACCAAACCCCTTCATTGACGTTTCACGAAACATTAATGAACAATAGTAAGCCCTTCAGCAATTCAAGTGACAGGTCTCAATTGCTTAAAAATTAAAAATAATTAAAAGGAGATAAAAGAACCTTGCCTCGATGATTTAGTTTTGTTTTTCTACATTCACGCTTTCACCGGGTGTTCAAATTGTCTAAAGTCCTTTTGAAAAGTTTAACATTTCTAATATCCTCCATGAAAACCGTTAATATCTACCAGAGCAAGAACTGATACAAAGCAGAGGAAAATGGAGGTCCAATGATCCTATATCTTTCCAATGATCCTATATCTTTGTCCAATGTTGAAAGGTAAGAATGCTCGTTTCTCCTGACATCAAGAAGTTTTCCACATACATTTACATTACTCACCGAGTATTCTTAATAATCGACCCATGTAAAAGAGATCATCTCATTATCTAAAGTTCAATTCCAGAGCTAATGAAAATGGTATACGCACATTGCACATGGAAGAAACAAAAAAAGAGCTACGTATTCACGTTTAAGCTCCACTATTAACACAACAAGAGAAATACCTCAGCAGATGAAACCGAATTCCGGTTCCGAACTGACTCCAGATTCGAGATTCTAGCTTCCAGGGCGTCAAAATTCCGCTCCATCTGTATCAACGGGAGGGAAAAAAACAACAAGAACAACATAAAAACCAACCTTCGTCGAAGGGAAGAAACACGAAACAAATTCTGGGTTAAAACAAAACTTGCATCAGAGGAAAGTGCAGATCGATAGGCCAATAGATCTTTCCAAACGAATTGCGAAATGGAAGCAGCCGCGGCCCCAAATCCAACGCTGAACCAAAACAATCGAGTTCTCAACATTTTCGTTGTTCTTGCCGCTTTCTTCCAGAACGAACCGCACAAGCTTCGTAGTCCTTGGCCAGGTTTCGGAGAAATAAAAGTTCTTGATTTTAGTTTTAGAGTTTTTCTTAGTCTTAAACGAATTTATATTAAATTTTTCATTCACTTACTCTGAGACTGTAATTACATAAAAGATTAAAATTATTCAATATATAAAATTTATACTTTTGTTACAGATTCGTCCATTTATCATTATATTTATGTTTACACCTAAATATTAGTTATTTTTTGAAATTTAAGATTAATTATTTAAAAGGTTACATTTTAAATCACTTCCCAGAAATAAAATTTACCAAATCCCAAAATACTACCCAAATCTCCAAAATTCTCCATTGCAAATTTTCAAAAAAACTCTCCTCCTTTCGTCGTTTCTTCTTCCGGTCTCATTTGCCGTCCTTCCACATACATCATTGTTTCCGTCCATTCGAGCTTCTTTTTCGTCACTGGAGTAGACCGTTATAGCTTCTTCTTCGTCGCCGACTACGATACACTCTGTTTATCCCAAGGTTTGTTTAGTCGCCGACCGGAAGGCCATAGCAAATCCATCGTAAATCAGTGTGGCATCGAATCTATTCGTTTGTCGCGGGTGGTTAACGGATCTTTGTAGAGAACGTTGTCATATGCGAAGGCCATTATTATCATATTGTAAGTTTGATGAAGAAATACACGGCTTTTTCTTAGTCCATATTATGAAATATTCAAATATGATTTGAGTGGTGCGAAATTTAGGTGTGAATTCTTCCACATACATGCGGATATAATATATATCTACAACTAAGTACCATTTTGGTAATTATAGGAACTCAATAGTCGGATATATTTTATATTTATCATAGGTTTATTGTGTTGAATTGCATTTGTTAGGTTAATGTTAATAATAGCAATTCATAATAATGAAACATGTGCTATGGTGTCTAAATGGATAGAATAGGCTAATGTTATATGCGGATATAATATATATCTACACTATATAAGTTTATACGAGATTGAAACTTCAATAGTTAAAGATTATATCCGAATATATTTTATATCTATTATTAAATACCAAATTGCAAGATGCAATTCAATTCTGTTGCTTTTTATTGCTGCTGAAAACTTTTGATATTATACTTCTTAATATCATTAAATCGTTGGTAAATCGTCCATATATTTTTCAACTATTTTGAATTTGAAATCATGGTAAATCTATACATTAATTAATTTAGAAATTGAAATCATGATAATCTTTTTGTAATTAATTTCAATAATTATAAGATTATGTCTACAATTTAGGAATTTGAATCTTCTAGATTTCAACCAAAAAAAAATTAACAAATAATAAATATAAATACAATAAATAAAGTAAAATCAATATTATAAAAAAATCCTACACCATAAATCTAAAAGTGTAAAATTGGAAAATTTTAGACATTTGTGAGAGTTTTTAAAACAGCCCTCCAAAGACATTAATTCAATTTTATATGTTCATAGATTCGATATAGATAAATCAATAGTGTTGAAAAAAATTGACAGATACACAAAAACATCAATAGAATATAATTAAGATAGGCACAATATTAATAATAAGAATTTTTAATTTATTTAGAAATTGTGATATACTTATTTGTTAATTTGATTTTTTTATTTTTATTTTTATGGTTTAGAAATATTCATATAGGTAGACATTGACATTTCTGTTGGTAGAGTGGAAAGATTTGAACTCATGACCTCTTGGTCAAAGATAGGTGTCAATTTTTTTTTTTTTTATCGAAGACAAAGTGTCAACAATCGTTAAGCTAAGCTCATGCTGGTGTTGATATTAACGTTTTAAACATTGGTTTAAGTTTCCGTCGCATAAAAAAATATTGAATTTAGAGGAGAAATCAATTTTTAGCCATGAATCCAAGTACGGTTTAGTGGATTAGGTGTTTAATCTTATAATGAAAAACAAAAAGAACAATAGAGGGGAAGGAAGAAATATTGTATGAACAAACAACTTTATATATTAAATTGGGAATTATTACAAGTATTTATAATAAAAAGTAAAAACCTACCAATACTAAATCACTAATTAGGTCTTTACCGTCAATATGACCTTAACTCAGCAATAATTGGTACTTGTCTCTTATCAAGAAGTCGTCAACTCGAATTCCTCGCGTAATCGTATTAAAAATAAATTAAAAAAATCAAGTCATTACCCTTTAAATTCTCTCTCACCAACCTCACTACTCTGCGAAGCCACCAGCCTAATTATATGGAAACACTAACAAGTAAATTAATACATATTTGCATTAATTTTTAGCAAATCTCTTATTTTCGTGATTGTGAACAAATTTAACCTTAGACTTGGACGAATGTTACAAGTTTTATTCAACTTTTGTTAATTTCACTCATTAACTTTTGTAAAGGTAAAATTGTCCGTAGACAAACCAATCCTAATTAATTAAAATCAATACCAAATTAAATCCGTCAATACACATCCACCATACAAATTAAAATAATAATAAAATAATAACTCCATTGTGTTTTTCTCCGAGTGCAATCAATTTTTGTAGCAAATATATATTTTATAATCCATTTTTTATCTCTAAACTTGAAAGGTGATACATCAAAAGAAAAATGGATTTTTCCCCCTTTTATTTATCTTTTGTGAAAATATGATTTTTTATTTTAGGTCACTTGTAAATATAGCAAAAAATTAGTATTTAATTACGGTAACTAATTTTTTAATTTGCAAAATATAGCAAAAACAAAAGCTAGCCCTAGTGAAAGAAATAAAAAAGTCGATTATACTCGTCGCGTTAATATACCTAAAATGAAGTACATCATTGATATATGTAATTGATATATTTTACATTAGATATATTAGTTATATCAGTGATATAGTTTATATTTGGTATAGGTAACTAGTAGTATATAATGTATAACAAATATATCAACAATGGAGAATTTAATGTTACCACGAGTCATTTCTGCAAGGGGCTTTAATGTTAATGGGAGTCATTTTTACAAGAACAATACTTCAGGAGCAACAGTAAGGATTCTTCACACATAGGAGTGAGAAATGTTTGTATAGAAAAAAAAGAGAGAGAAATGTATAATATGAAAGAGAGATATTTCTTTTTTTTTTAAAAAAATGAATACCTGTCGAAAATTTAGCAATGAGTCTGAAAAAATAAAAAATAAATAAAAGATATATGAGAGTGGAAATTCGAACTCCTGGCATTTTAATGAGAGTGGAAATTCGAACTCCTGACATTTTGGATTCTTTATTGTTACTTGTTTGGGGGTAAACATACCCGAAACACGTGGAGGACCTTTATTTGTGTTGAAGAAACCAAATAAGAAGGATTGATTAGGTCAACCTCGGTCCTGCCGAGGTGGCCGGGTTTGCCGTTATAAAAACAATGGGCACCAAGGTTCGACCTGACTGGGGTCCGATCTACTCGGAACCCGACAGGTCCGATATGAGAAAACAGACATATAACCACCGGTCGTGTGAACTGTTGGATCCATTACCTATAAATAGAGGATTTCATTTCATGCTCAGGTAGGGAATCTCACCTCGAACTAAATAAGGAGTCCGATCTATACTGACTTGAGTGTCGGAGTGCTTACCCTCTTGTGCAAGTCCACTCTGTTGTGTTGTTCAGGTCGGAACCGGAGACCGGGTTCGTGTTTGATTCCTGAAGAACCGTTATGCAAATTCCTGCATAAACATTTGGCGCCGTTTGTGGGGACATCTTAAGTCATCCCGATCTAGAAAATATACGCAAAAATGGTGCATCCAGCAAACTCTGCCAATACGGCAGAGCGGAGGGGTGTGAACGCTGATAATGGCACTCAGCGAGACCTCGACGCAAGAGTAGTCGAGGATCAGGTCCGAGCAGGGCAAGAGGGAGATCTGCCGCGCAGATCTGCTCGCCATGCGAACCAATAGTTACCCCCTGCTCATCCGAAACCCTCAAAGGCCAACCGAGGCCGAGGAGGGACCTCAAGAAAGGCCTCCCAAAGGGCCAACCAGGCAGTAGACCCTGAAGCTTTGTCTACTCTCCAGCGCGAGTTGGATGATATGCGTCATCGATTGCGCACAATGGAAGAAATGTACACTGAGGCAACGCGTGCTAACCGAACTGCGTCTCCCTCTAGGGTCCCGGGCGCACCTAGTGAAAAGGGAGCCTCATCCATCCAACCTGGCGACCGCGAGCCYATTCCCAACGTTGAAGGAGTGGATTATAGCTTGCGGGACAACGATCTGAGAAAACATCTCACTGAAAAGAAGAAGAGGACATCTCGGGAGCCGGAAGACTCTCCTTCCTACTCCCGAGAGTTCTCGAACTCGAACCTAAAGGCTCAGTCAAAATACAAGAATCTGATGCCAGAAGCTGTGATAACTAGAGAAGAGTTCAACCTGATGAAGCACAAGCTCGATGAGCAAGTCGAGGCGCTTAAGACTAGGTGCGAGAAGAAAGAATGTTCGTTGGACGATGGCGACTTGGGAGAATCGCCATTCACCCTGGACATCCTGGAGGCTCCAATCCCTCCGAAGTTCAAAACTCCCGCGATGAAGCCTTATGATGGGTCTAAGGATCCAAAAGACTATGTTGAGGTCTTCGAGGGCCTCATGCACTTTCAAGCGGCAACAGATGCGATCAAATGCCGCTCCTTCCAGATAGCGCTCACCGGCAGCGCGAGCCTGTGGTACCGGAGACTGCCGGCCAGGTCGATCCGACCTACTCCCAGCTGAGGAAGGAGTTCATCAGTCAGTTCTCCTCTCGGCATTATGAAAGAAAGACAACGACTCACCTTGCCACCATCAGGTTCCAGGAGGAGCAGCTGAAGGTCGTGCACTGCTCCGACGATTCGGCCATGTGCTACTTCCTCACTGGCCTGGCTGATGAGACCTTAACTATAAAACTTGGAGAGGAGGCTCCAACCACCTTCGTCGAAGTATTACAGAAGGCGAAAAAAGTCATTGATGGACAGGAGCTCCTCCGAACCAAAACTGGCCGACCTGAGAAGCGGATCGACCAGAAGAAATTANCTGTGATACCGGAGACTGCCGGCCAGGTCGATCTCGACCTACTCCCAGCTGAGGAAGGAGTTCATCAGTCAGTTCTCCTCTCAGCATTATGACAGAAAGACAGCGACTCACCTTGCCACCATCAGGCAGAAGGAAGGAGAGACGCTAAAAGAATATGTCACAAGGTTCCAAGAGGAGCAGCTGAAGGTCGTGCACTGCTCCGACGATTCGGCCATGTGCTACTTCCTCACTGGCCTGGCCGATGAGACCTTAACTATAAAACTTGGAGAGAAAGCTCCAACCACCTTCGCCAAAGTATTACAGAAGGCGAAAAAAGTCATTGATGGACAGGAGCTCCTCCGAACCAAAACTGGCCGACCTGAGAAGCGGATCGACCAGAAGAAATTAAGTCAGGAGACGAAGAGGCCTAATGTCAGGTCCAAAGATAAGGGACCATTCTCCTCCAGTAGCAGAACAGAGTACCGTAGATCAGAGAGCGGCCCCACCCGGAGCTGACCTTACGAACGTTATACCCCGACCACCATCCCAATCTCAAAAATACTTACAAATATTGAGGAGAGCGGGATGGAAAAGCTCCTCAAGAGACCTGAGAAGCTCCGAGGGGACCCAGAAAAGCGCAACAAAGATAAATACTACCGTTTTCATCGTGATCACGGCCATAACACAACAAGCTGCTGGGAGCTGAAGCACCAGATTGAAGACCTCATTCAAGATGGCTACTTCAAAAAGTTCGTAGGAAAACCGAGGTCTAACTCGGTCGAAAAGAAAGAAGAGAGGAAGCGTTCAAGAACGCCGCCTCGAAGAGAGGACCAACCTGCGGTCATCAACACTATTTCCGGGGGCCCAAATGGGGGCCAGTCCGGAAATAAAAGGAAGGAGCTAGCTCGCAAGGCCAGATGCGAGGTATGCATCATGAGGGAGCAGAAGCCCACTTGCTCCATCACTTTCGGCGATGCCGATCTGGAGGGGATCCATTTGCCGCATAATGACGTGCTCGTGATCGCCCCTCTCATTGATCACGTCCTGGTTCGAAGAGTATTGGTTGATGGAGGTGCATCTGCCAACATCTTGTCCCTCCCAACATATCTAGCATTGGGATGGACCAGGTCAGAATTGAAGAAGAGTCCAACACCCTTGGTTGGATTCTCTGGAGAATCGGTCTCCCCAGAAGGGTGCATTGACCTGCCGGTAACGATCGGGCAAGATGCTACCCAAGTAACGCAGATGGCCGAGTTCGTGGTAATCGACGGCAGATCGGCCTACAACGCCATTTTTG